AGCGCATCGAGCGCGCCTGTTTCCACAAATATACACGAGCAAAAATCGCAAGGCAAAATTTCTCCAGGGAAACGGCATTTTCTCAAATGTAATTACCTGTAAATGAAATTACAAGACATAGGACGTTAATGGCGCGGACGCCGACGTAAAGTACGTAAATTGTAAATATAATAGCGCGAGGTACGTGTATCATAATAATCAAAGATTGAACTATCAATTATAAAGTGAAAATATCGCGGCAGAGGCCGCGCTCCGAAATTAAGCGAGTGAAAGCAGAGATATCTATTTAATAAACGAAAATTACGAGAGCGGCTGTTCCGGGGAAAGAGAGTGTACGAGCGCGGGAAAATTGCGAGAGGCCGAGGTGCGAGGTATATTAAAAGGTTGGCCCGCCGATTAAAGGGCACGCGTGTAATTTTTGTGCAGCGCTCGTCAAAGTACGATTATGAATTTCCGGCTAATTAACGCTTACACGGGCCTCCCTCGTTCCGGACCGTCCAATTCGTCTCGCGGATAAAATTGCGTCGGCTCGCGCGCCAAATTTTACGCGAGATCGAGTTTGTCGCTAATGCATACTGATGTCGGGCATCGGGCGAGGAAATAACACGCGGGGGTTGCGCGTGCACGCCCGCGATTCGTTTACGCGGCCGGCCCGTTTTAACTGGTCGCCAGGCCGGGGCGAGCGAGGCGCGCGCGGTCCATTTAAATTTTCCACGAGAGGACATAACGCCACCTCGGCGCCACGCAGTCGGGGATCGTTGCCCGCGCGAAGATCGAAATTGCCGATGTTTTACAGCTCGTTCGGCACGACGGAGTCGCGCGTTCAACCCTCCACGTGGGCGCGGAAAACGTGACGCGGGCACAGTCCTCCTCGACCGCCGATTCAGAGATAGCTGTGTCACACTACATGTTGGTATTTGCCGTCAGTCCAGCATCCCCTTAAGGCCTGTGCCCACGATGCTAGAACTTGGTCCAAGTTCTAGTTCCGAGAAATGTGTAGCCAATCAGCCTGTAGCTTTTATGGAATAGCTGCAAGTTGATTGGCTACGCATTTCTCGAAACTAGAACTTGGACACAGGCCTTTAGGGCTCACGCACAATGAGAGGAGTAGGAAACGAGGCGTTTTAAATGTAAGGAATTACATTTCGACTTGTGGAAAGACACACATGCGTTTACCGTGAAGGAAGGGATTTTTAATTCCTGACTTTCCGTGGGTCAAAATTTAATTCCCTAGTTCTTACGTTTCCTGGTTCTTTATTCCTCTTATTGTACACAAGCCCTTAGTGTATTGTGATTATGATCGGTGACTGTTTGCTGCTTTTCGGCGATGATCTACACGGAGAGAATTTATTTGACAATGTGGGATTTTGAAGAACTTTATGAATTTTTGAAATTTTATTATACATTTCACTAGTAATTAAAAAAATTCTTTGAAATGCCATGTTGTCCCACGATAAAATTTAAAAGAAAATCTCTTCGTGCACTGATTGACTTTATGAGAGGACCGATCTGTCCACACGGTCCGTCGAGTCTAGGATGTAAGTTGTAAACGATCAAACTCCTTCCGATCGCCACTGATGATGATAAATGATGTTTTCGTATTGAAGACAGACGCGAGATTGGACTACATTCGTCGTTGAAACTTGGCGAAATGATTGAAAAAAGCGTCGGAATTTCCGATATATTTACGTGTCTTTAACTTCCTCAAACGGCTTCTCGGATTTACAGATAAACGGCCACGCGTCCCCGGCATGTCGCGGATCGCAACATCCGCGCGGGCAAAATATTGTCATTCATAAATTCCTCGACTCGCGATCGCGAGATTCTATTCGAGACGCCGTACATTAACATCTATTCAGAACTTGGCGTCACGTTGCGAAGGTAGATGTAGCGAGGACGCTATATGGTTCGTGAAATCCTTTCTTTTTACGGACTTTGAGAGACGCCAGTCGTTGACGGCGGCGAGAAAAGTCCCGTTTCGTGGGATCCTTTTGATTTACCGCGAAAGAGGACCACGGTTCAACGATCGCGAGATGGATGAAAGGGCCTTTATGGTAATCCGAAGGTCTTTCAGATCCACCCACCGCACTTCTTTTAGACCGACTGTTCTCCTCCGTTTTTTTTTAATGGAAAATTGCCTTTGCTCGTCTCTGTTTTCGAGCACCCCGTGCGAGTTGCACGTCACTTTCACAAATGGATTCAGAAATCCCCATTCGGATCGCTAATTTCGCAAAAGGTTCCTTCTCCAATCGTAAGCACCGCACCTTAGCGAAATAGG